AGTATATTTGTGCACACACACACACTCACTCACAGAAGGCATGGTGCTACACTTCCTTTTTTACATGGGTTAATAGTATTTAACCAATGGATTTTCCAAACACCCCTTCACCCCCAACCCCGGATCAAACATTACACTTAACCACTGGGCTCCTGAGGCACTGCACGGATTATGTTGAAAGTATGTGATGTCTCCAAACGCTGAGACTTTACTCTGGTTGTGTCTTCCTTATTGAACTTGATACACAGAGGAGTTTTCTATGTTTCATGTGCAGCCGGCAATCTAGATTCTCCTCCTTTACTGCTTTCACATTCCCAGACCATGTGTAAGAAAAATCTAATTTGTTCAGATTTGGCAGAAAGAGCAGAAGAGTTGGAAACAGCTTAAGTATTTCCTCCGGTTTTCTATATGTTGAAATTAAATCAGTTTTGCTTTGTGGAATAGAGGAAAATATGAATTGTTGTTTGCGCAGAGGTCAAATCTTATCTAACTATATACAAGTTGTCCTATAAATGGATATTTGAGATTGGCATAAAAGTCCTTTCATCTTTGTAGCGGCCAAAATCATATAGAAATAAAACAGATAATTAACTTAAAATAATACAGCCGCTGAGGCACTAGTTAGCAGATCTTACGCAAGGCAATGATCCAGGTTCGGACAACATTCTCCGTTGTACATTTATTATGATCCAATATCATTGACAATGAACAGGTTTCCTATGATTTGTTCCTTAAGCCTTTCCTATGACTTTCCTTTCCTGTGGTTGGAAAACCCTGTGGCTCGAAACACCCTGGTAAAAAAACCGTTTGCCTACTCGTGCTCTGGCTCCCACCACCCACCTGTCTCCAATATATACAATTACACCAGGTGCTCTAATCACCCAGTGCCCAAAACATGCCTTCAAAATAAAAGCATAGAAACTACTTTAACTTATGACACTAACTAAGAATACATATAAATAAATAATATAAACCACAAGAGAATACGTTTCAAACTATTAAATAATATAAAGAGATATATAGCTCCAACAATCTTTATCTTGAGTACATTAGTTGTAACATGGTAATCCTGGCAAAATAATGTGTGAAATGTTTAGCGGTTTGTTGTAGAGTTTTTTTAGAAAGTTTATTTCATTTTAGCAACATAACAAGGCATACAATTAGAATATATGTTCCAATTTCATACTTATATTTCCTCTTTACTTGAAGGGAGAATGGTTAAGAAAAGTGCATACACGTTTATTTTTATTCAAACACACAATAAGCATAGCAATGCATTGTAAATGAGCAATTACAAATATAGAAATAATTTTTGATTATTTAAAACCACTTTGATCATAGGAAAATATCACATTTGACATTATCAAAAGCAGGTGTTTTTGTGCTTAAAAAAGATGAAGCTTTAAAAAGCTTTAAAAATCACGTTACCATCTCGCTTTATGCTAATAGGCTAGCATACACTGTGTTGAGGGAAAGTATCAACTTTCACAACCATCAGTTTAGATAAAAAAACTAATAACATGTTTCTTAAGACCGGCAGACTCAAATACAGCATCATTAGATCTACTTTGAAGATCTCAGGTAAGTTAGGAATGTATCTGCTGCTAATTTACTTTAGCTGCAGGTGGCTAATCATGTATTAGCATGCAGCAAACAATCAACAATGGATACAAATCACAATTTGTCCCAACGTTTCTGTCATAATCTGCCAAAAGGTCACTTTAATAATAAACATAATATTGTAATGGGGACTCTGGCCTTAATGTAATAATAAAAGAAATATAAAAGGACTTTAAACCACGGTTAGACAAAGACAGCGTTCTCCAGCTCTACTTTTCGCTGCAGTCGGCGCAGAGGATGTCTCCCTCCTTGGCCACGAAGCGCTTGTTGGACAGACTGAGGGAGCATTTCTTACAGTTGAAGCAGTATTCGTGCCAGGAGCTGCCCTCGTAGTTCACCACGTTCACTCCTTTACCAAACCCTGACAGAGGGGACAGTCTGAGATTAGTACAACCGTAGAATATTATTATGCATCTCTGGCAACAAAGGTTTTTCGTTTAGTCTAAAGTACCAATGAACATGATATCTTAGGAAAATATCTTGGGTCATATCTTCAAACGTCTAGTTGGACTAAATTATTATAATTTGAAGGTCATAGGTCCTCTTAAACACAACATATATTATGACCTTAATTTAAGATTTTAAAGAATAAAATGATGGCTTTTCGGATAGACATGGATGTAACCTGAAACATGACTGGTTGGCGGAGGAACACAAGCTTTAATCCTAGTTCATCTATATTTTATTTAACTGAAACATAATCCTCAGTTTCAGTCACCTGTGATGGGGCTTTGGCAGCCGCTGCATTTCTTTGCCACGGAGGTCTTGTAGCAGTCCACACAGAACACCTGGTCCTGGTGGTTGGTGAAACTGGTCCCTGCTAGGGGCTTGGAGCAGGAGCTGCACACGAAACAGTGGCTGTGCCACGGCTGGTCCTGGTAGTTCACTCCTCCAGAAGTTATAGCCTGGAGACGGAGGAAAGAGACGAGCTACATGTATGAATAGTGAACGTTGATGATGTTTGTATTTTGTTTTTAAGAGTAATAGTAAAACCTTTTTGCAGCAGACGCAGTGTTTGGCAAACTTCTTGTCATGGCAGGGGCTGCAGTAAACGTCAGTTCCTTTGGAGAGGAAACTCAGCGATCCTATTGGTCGTTTACAGTTGAAACAGGTGAAACACTCATCGTGCCACGAGTTCCCTTTGTACTCCACACTCTCTGTGCCTGCAGGAGATCACAGAAGAGTGAGTGCTAATGCAGAGAAGCAGGTAGTAGGAAAGTACCTTCACTGCAGTGAGAAAAGGGATATCAGTACAGGATTCTTTCTGTTAAAATGTCGTTTTTTTTACAGTTTATTAATGGCCAGTGACCCAAACATTCTCCCACACAGCACTCTGAATCTATCAAGGTCTTACCGGGCAGTAAGGCTTTATAGCAGCCGTGGCAGCGTGGCGCGTCCTCTCTGGAGCAGCACTTCCCGCACATGATGCGGTCGTCTTTAGTGCTGAAGGGCTCCTTGGCCAGAGGCTTGTAACACTTAGCACAGCGGAAACACTCCTCATGCCAGTACCGGCCCTTATGGCTGAGCTCCTGATGGAGGAATGAAAGGTTGATGAGATGTTTGTGGAGGGGGAAAAAAGGCAGGGCTGATTTCCACGCATAGAAAACCCCAAACACACCTTTGATTCCACAGGGATGGGTCGACGGCACTCGGCGCAGGAGTTGGCGCAGAACTTGGTGTGGCAGCGGATGCACACCGGCCGGCCCTCGTTGCGGACGAACCTCTTCCCCCCGAGGTCCTCCCGACAGTAGAAACAGTTCGAGCTCTCTGCCATCGTCACTCCGGGGGAGACTCACAACTACAATACACCAAGAAGAGAGGGACGGTCAAATACAGCTTACCATAAAGTCCTCGTGAGAAATCAAGTTAGAAATAATGCACATTTTATAGCTGTACTTTTTCAAGCTTGATTTCTCAAATTAACCGTTACATCTTTCTCGCAACCTAGTAGCCAAATTGAAAAAAAGGCTACTTAAAAGCACCACAAAGGGGCGCTGTTGGTACACTTATATGGGCTGAAGGGAAAAGCAATAGGTTTCCAAATAATTGATATTAATTGCATGCTAATGAGATGATTTAATTTCAGACACAAGAAATCTGCACCGCTGAATATTGGTTTTGTGTCAAAGAACATCCAGCAGGTGTACATGTCTGTGATTCTGTGTGTAATTATGTGCAAAGCATTAACACAAGAGTGTTTATGTACTCTGTGAGATATGGTCCTCCTCATACATATTTGCTCTGCCTTATAATACAAATAAAATGGGCAATAAAGCTCGATAGCTGATTTGAGAGGCAGACATAAAACCAACAACACAAGCTTGAATCCTGCAATGGAATGATCAAATAAAAAATCCTATTTCATGTTTTGCATTTCACAAACATACATGTAAAAGCAACAGACGAATTGTTAAGTGTATTACAATAACACTTGAGTATTTTCCTTTTTATGATTTTGACTTTATTTTAGAGTTAATAATTAGAGATTATTATTTTTGATTTGATTGTCAGCTCAACCTAAACAAGATTTGACATTCAAATGCTGATGAGGCAATACTGAGTATATGTAAATCTGTAGCATATTTGCATAATGAGCTCTTTTGATTCTAAACATTTGTACTCACTTGTAATGCAGTATGTTTGTACGCAGTGCCATTGTTAGTTTTGCTCAAATGAAGGATCTGAATGCTTTTTATAAATTGTTCCTAAGTCATTTAATTATAACTATCCTCAGCATCTTGTAACTGATTTCTGACACAAGAAAAAAATCAGCGTCCCTAAAATACAACTCATTAACTTCCTAAACATAGAACCAAAATCACCACGTTGATCACCAAAACAGCTTTGATTGCAGGGTTTGGATTCCAAATTGTAAATAAAACATGATGGCAAAATGACGACTACACAAACACACAGAAACGTGGAGGAAGAGATGGCTAAAGTGTGTTCACTCTGTTATTTCCCACATCAAGTTCATGCTGGCTGACCGCAAGGAATTCTCCTAAACTGCACAGAGGTGTGTGTGTGTGTGTGTGTGTGTGTGTGTGTGTGTGTGTGTGTGTGTGTGTGTGTGTGTGTGTGTGTGTGTGTGTGTGTGTGTGTGTGTCCGTCCGCATTGTGAGGTGTACACATGAAGGAATGCCTGGTATGACAAATGTGGTGAGATCTTGGACGTTGACAACTCCTTGACAGAACCTACATGCGCGCACACACACACACACACACACACTTCTTACACGGACCACTCCCTAGCAGACCAAGGAAACCACAAACTATAGCGTTCACCTCCGGGTTGGAGCAGCATGTCGGCTCACATTCGGGAGGAAGTTCTGGTTTTGGCACAGGACCAACGTTACCACAAGTTTAGGCTGCGTTCACCGGCGGTCAAATTACCACATTTTCTTGTGACTTGTCTTAAACTATCAGCAAAAATCACAGATGGGTGATTCCTATTTAAAGGGGGAGGCTAACAAATAAGAGTTTGAAGATGCTGAAACTTTTGACAGCAGGGATTAATGGTGGTCTTCATCGGTCACAGGCGGAGAGAGGCAGTTGTAGTTCATGTAATATGATCGATGCGTCAAATATTTGCAATTGAGCTTAAAAGTCCCACAACTGAGTCTTTTTCTTTATAAATATAGAAAGCGTATATAAAGGCTATACGTTAAAAATAGTTTTGGTTTAAGTAAAGATGTGGGTCGAGTGAAATGAAGAGTCATGACCTTCATGTGTGCACCAGCAGTCTCTCTTTTTTTGGACTCTACCAACTATTATACAACAAACTGTATGTTGTGGCCAATATTCTCTGTCTGAGAGCTCTTTTTCCAGTTTTATAGTATCATTAAAAACAAATGACTGGACATGGATCACTTATGGAAAAAGATAAAATACAGAAAATACTTTATAGTAGGACTAAACCAGGCATGCTAACAAACCAACACACTCTGACCAGGGTCAATAAATGTATTTGAATTCAACCATTTTAAGGATATATATTTCAAATGCCAGAATTGTATTCAGTAGAAACGCTTCTCAGCGATCATGTGACACTTAAACTCTCCAACCCAATCAAATAACTTGAACAGATAATATGCAAATAGCACTTTAATTTAGCATATAGCATATAGCAAGAGTCATAACCAGTCAGACTGCTGTTTGACAGAGAAATGTGGCTGAGGTTAAAGGTGCTACTGTTAATAATGTGGATCAAATAACTTCCTTTGTGTTCCTGTCTCCTCAACAGATAATAATAAATGTATAAAGTGACCCCATGTGGATTGGACATACTTCTTCCTTTCAGTAACCGGCTAATTCATAACTTATTAAAAGAAAAAACCAGCAGCAGGTTTATTTGTTAACTGGGAGAGGCTACTCATACATCTTCTCAAGAGGACAGCGAGACAAAGACAGGTATTTACCTGTTATCTTGTGTGTCCTGCCTCTCCCTAAACAAACAAGAATTCATGTATAATTGTAGTTCCTTGTCTTTTTCGAAACTGCACTGGCAAACATGGTGGAGATCCTGAATCCACGGCTAGATGAAGCAACATGTAGCTCTAGGGCTGTGGAGCTGGCAATGATAAAGCTTGGCTACCAGCATCGTGAATACCTTATCTGATGAGAGGCGAACAATGGCTGACAGGAAGTGAGCCAGTATCCACAGGTTTGGAGGAAAATAAATCCGGTTTCACTGACGTCAGGCGGCTCTGAGGACACTGTTGCTGCATGTCTTTAATTTGTTTCCCTGCCATAAATATTCTCGCTGTGTCACGGCACAACAGCACATATATTATTTTCTTGTATCCTAGCTGCAAATGGAAAACACAGTTTGATCGCTATGGAAGCAGTTAAGGTGAATTCCGCAGACGTTTAAATATTTCTATCTTCAGAAATGTTCTGCTTTTGGCAATTGGTCCGAGGTTGTATTGTACCTCCCCACTTTATTTCCCAGACTTGATTTGGTATCAAAAAAGTTGACGGATGTATATCGTTGAGATCCAAATGTAAGTCAAGTTCGACTGATGGATCGAGTTTGAGCAAGAGAGCCTGGAAGCTAGAGGTTGGACCAGTTAGTCTCTACAAGTATATTGTCTTTTACAAATTCACTTCATTTAAGGAACTTAAAAAAGGCATTATTTGTGGTGAATGCTTTATTATATAGTATGTGTTTGCCTAGAGGTATGCAGTCTGCAGTCACATGATTTAAAAGACTTTAAGATAAGATCTTATTACTTCTGCTCTCAACTTCTGTTAAAGTTTCAGACACCTCAACAATTGCAGCAGCATGTGGAGGTCTGTGGTGTAAAAATAAAACACAGAGAGGTGACATCATGCCTTGTGAAAAAAGAGGACACACACATTTTGAACACATGGTGCTGAGATAAAGATAAAGTAACAGAGAGCTAGAGACAAACTAATATAAAACGCTGTGTATTTATTCGACTGTCTTCTTGTACCCACCATCTGTGTCTGTCCATACACGTGTGTGTGAGTTGGCATGAGCTTATCGCTAAAGAATGTAGCGGAAAGCTGAGAAACAGGAAGTCTCCATCAAACGGTTAAGGTGGCACAATTCAGCCACACACACACACACACACACACACACACACACACACACACACACACACACACACACACACACACACACACACACACACACACACACATGAATGAGCTCTCCACTGTAGTGGCTAATAACTGTGTTTACATTAACATCTGATTAACGCCACACGTACAATAAACCTTGTTTATTTGACATCACTTCAGTGTGTGCTGCAGGTGTGACCTCTTCTTCTATGCAGACTTGTCCTTTGAAAGCTCTTTAATCATTGACCTGTGTGGCAGTCGGTAGAGCTAATGAGACTTCCTGATGCTCTAAAAATAGATTAAAGGCTGGAATGTACAACATATTCCTCTTAAACATATCTTCATCCTTAGCTGTGTTTATCATTATAAATTCCTCTTTAAATGGTATGCTTTTTCTCTACAATTGTTTGATTTGTAGATGTATGTTTTAAATTAATTAATAAATGTGTTGGCTGTGTTGGTTATTACTTGGTGTGATTAGGGGTCAGTCATTGTTTAAATGTCAAGTTGTTGTCGTTGGGAAAGAAAGGACCTTTAAGTGGTGCAAGTCTAAAGTTTTGTGGTTGCTACTTATTGAATGATTGTGTTAAGAGATCTTGTTGCTTTAAAGGCTTGTACTTGTAATCTACCCAGGACATGAGCTGTACACTTTTATCCCAACACATTTGAGGCTGATTCATTTTCTGTCCATTGGCTTATCAATGTTGTAGCTCAAAAGTATATTAACTATTTTGTGCACCTTCAAATTAGCCTAAAACTGATCAAATCATCAGCTGATAGTCTTTTCTTGTTTTTCAGAATGGGCAGCAGGAAGCGGTTAACTAAATTAAGAAGTCTGCAGCGATGTTCCTCTATATTACAATCATTACAATCCATTGTAGGAGACAAGGAGATACATCAACGTCTGAATCAACAAAAGCCTCAAAAGACCAGAATGCATTGCATTACTAAAACCCGTGAGTAAGATAATGCTGCCCTCATTAACAGTTTAACTGCCGTGTGTCCATTATAGAGTATATTTCTTTTTTCTCTCCCCCTTTCCTGTCTACCTTGAGCTAAACTCACATAAAGTCAAAAAAGACCAAGATCTATTAATATATCTGAAAATGTGGCTTAAAACTGGATACAATTTGTATTTTATGCTTTTGGCAGACAACCTCAACGCTGACCTTGCCATTACAGACGACCAAATGAAATTTCCAGGAAAAGATTATCTGGGTTCGAAACTGGTTAGAAACATTTGGGATAATGAAACAAAATACATTACATAAACTAATCGTTTTCAGACCTTTTTATGCAGAAATGTTACATGTTATATCTTTTAAAGATCACTGTATCTCCGATCATGGTTCAACTGCAGAACTGTCGCACACAGAGAACATTCCCACCCTGATTCCAGTCATACCATCTCAAAAATAAATATACAATATAAGAATTTGAAACTCCACATCAGTCTACAAAGAAAGATAATGTTTTCTTTGGCTCCGGTGGGGCACATTCCAGACGATGGAATAAAGCCGATACAACAAATCTGAGTCGTGTAGAGCGAGGTCGAACAAACCCGACATGTCCCAGTACAACAGGACGGACATGATGGTTTTACCAGAAGCTGCTGTTAGCTGCCTTTCTAACTTTGTCTGTTCTGTTTCCCTCTCCATCAGTGACACACTCCTTCTGTTTCTCCTCTCATTCAGTAACTGAGATGTCTTTCAGAACAGAGCAGCTGAGAAAACCTTCAGCAGCAGCAATGTACGACCAATTACCATTTCCATGAATATCTATGACATTTTATGTGCGCAAGGGAAAGCCCCCACATTGGCACCAAATCAGTCCTGTTGGAGCACTACTAAATGTCCAATGTATAACGGGACATTTAAGCCCTCAGTGCTGCCTTAAGGGCTTGTTTGCTTCCAAAATATCCCTTTATAAATCTCCAGCCACTTTCTAACCATTCTCCCAGATTGAAACCTCGACATAAATGACCACACCAAAGCCGTACTTTACGAGAAGCATTTATGAACGAATACCAAACATGACGCTTTCTGTTTAAAAATAATATATAAAAATATAACCCTCCCTTCAGGGGACCAAACATTAGATCATTTACCCTCAGTTTAACTGTTAGACCACAGGGCTGAATGAGCTCACAGATTGTCAAATTAAGGGAAAGACCAACATAATTAAGTTTCTTAGTAAAGTGTTGAGTATACAGGCAACTATTTTTAAAAGCCTCTTTAACTCAACTAAAGAGATGTCTCAATATCTTACCATATTTGGTGTCTTAGAAAGTGCTGACGACAAGAAACATCGCTAAAAGGACGCCCAACAGCCAAATCGACCTATTAGGCAAATTTAATAAGGTCAGGCGAAGAGAACACAAGAGCCCTGTTTAATATTTTACAGCCAGCCTACACTTTCACACCTCATCTGTATCCCAAAATGCAACATCCTTCCTGACCTTTTTTAATGCTCAGCTGTAACAATACATACAGTTCACTTTATGTGTCTTTCTTTGTTCCTTCTTTTTTTACCATGTACATTTTAAACTCCCAACCTTTGCTGAATTATCTGGTCTCATTGGTAAATCCAAATGTTCTTCCTGCCAGTTAGAGCCCCTTCCGCCCCCAATTTACATTTCCTGCCTTAAATTCCTTAGAAATAACAGTTGCAATTCAGATACTCAGTGAAGACCATAAGGTATCAAATCCTCACAACTTGTGTCCAATATGAAAACGTCTGTGTAAAATAAGTTACATCACTATTTTAAATCATTTTAACCGTTTTCTGTGAGAGTTAGATCAGATCATTGTTACCACACTCATTGTGCATGAAATATGAAGCTACAATCAGAAGCTAAAGACTGGGAGCAATGGGAAACAGCTAGCTTTGCTCTGTAACAAATACAAGATAAGATAACGACACACTCTGAAGCTCACGCATTTACATGTTTTATCTTGTTTGCTTACGCCATTGAAAAACCGAAGTGTACAAACTAAAAGTTATGAACCTACCAGTTGCAACAAGACTTCAAGAAGTCACTCCTGCAGGCCAAGAAAATGTGTTTTCACACTTTGTTTATTGGGACGGATTTATCTATTCTAATGCGATATAACGGGTTAATTGTAAATGAGGTTTGTTGACAAATAAAGAACCTTGAACCTTAAGACAGAGCCTGTGTCTTCCCGCTTAATATGTATGCTAAGCTAAGCTACCAAACTATTAATTTAAATCTTAAACATATCTAATATTTAGCCATTTAATTGATGTTGCACCTGCCGTCCCCTTTACTCTTAGACATCCTTGATGTCTTTGACGGCACAAGAATATGTTACTAGCTTTGCCACCTTCCTTTTACATATTATAAAGAAACATCTTTGTGTCCTTCTATTTCACAACCACTGCTTGAAATCAGCAAACCCAAACATATCACAGCAGGTTTGAATGGCCGCCGGTTAAAGATAACACACTGCCAAGTTTCTAAATCAGTCAAAATCTATTTCACCATCATGTTGTCAGTTTGTCAGATTATTAAAACTGCTGAAACCATTAAAAAATCTACTAAAAATTGTTAAGTTGAACATTGGGGATCGATAAAAAATAAAAGATAAATGTCTGAATCCCATTTACATTCTATCTTATTAAAGTCACAACAGGCGAAACACAACAGGGAGTTCCTATGACATAAATTCAGACAAATGCATAACGTTTTACGAGCCAGTGATGTATTTTATGGGACTGAGCTCATGGTAATTTCTTTGACATGCAGGCACCAGCTTTGAATCAGTAAAAACTCCCTATGGCTTTCGTCTGTGAGTGTGTGAGTCTGTGAGTGTGTGAGGCAGCAAAAGGTCAGTCCCACATATGGTTCTTGGCTTACTTACTGTCTGAGTTTGTTTTTGCGCATGCTGTTCAGAATGACTGTACTGTAAGGCAAGTACCTCCAAATCACAGAAGGAATCTGCAACATTTAGTCTATAAAAAAGTTTACTTCAGTTGCAACATCTGTGACATGAGGTTTCCTTCTGTAAAGTTAGAGGAACATCTCTCCTTCCTCCTTCAGTCTTGTTTTTTCAATCCAACAGATGCATTCTTTTTTTATATAAATCTATGAATAAGCAGGTGTTTCTTCCTATTTTTTAAAGGTTATGTTGCATAATCTGCTCTGTAACTCACTGCATGAAAGAGAGAAAGAGTTCAGTTGCAAATCTGGATCCTGAACTTGCCTCACAAGAGCTTGCAATATAAGGATAACTGGTGGAACCAACACTGGAGCCATATGCATCACTTACATGTATATAACGCACACACATACAGGACAATGAAAATAGCAGTACAGGCATTTTAATTGACCTCTGTGATGCATTTTTGAGCCTCAGCGGTTCCATCACTGGGTGAAAAAAAGGAGAATTCCTAACTGGAAACAGATTTCAGGAGCAGCCAAGGCTTCCATAAGTCAGCATGTAACTGTAGCTCTCACACACGCATACACATGTACAGAGACAGCCAACGCCCCAGACAGACTTTAAGACTTGTTTCCTCTCCGGATATCAAAACGCTGCTTTGCAAATGTAATGTGTATGAAATCACAAGATGTGTGACAGGGGAAGAGAGTTGCATGCTACTGAGTCCTGACTGTACATGTGTTAGTTGGACATACTGTAAAGGTGATTACAATCAATGGTCACATATTTACAGTGGGCTAATAGAATATATAAGTGAGACTAGTGCAACAGTTTCATCAAGCGTAATAAAACCTGCGCGTGCAAATTACTAAAAACAGTCCCGCATGAAGTTATTTCTGTAAAAACAAGTTTCAAAAAGAAAGTAAACTTAGGTAGTGTACGGTAAAAAAATTGGTGCTTATCAGCCAGCTTACCGGATTCAGGGTGATGACTGCGGGGCTCTGGAAGCAGACAGTGGGACGCTTCAACGAGACCCTCACACGTTTTTAAGTACTGCCATCTGCGTCAAGCGCGACACAAGCACCCGCGCACTCAGACCCGAAATAACAGGTTGTACCTTCAAAATAAAAGAGTAACTACGATGTTGTAGCGGAGTGAATACATTTTCAAAATAAAGGTTGAGGTTATTTTCACTCACATTTAATGAACTTGTGCCCAAAGACTTTATTTAGCATGATAAGCAAAAATGCAAAAAACCTGTGTTCTGATTGGTCATGACTGTAATAAATAAGGGTTATATAAGGGTTATAAGGGATTAATATGGCATATGGGATAATTTGGTGCGTTGAATCTTTGACAACAATATTCAAGTATTAGCTATTAATGCATGACCTTTATTACATTTCCTTTAATATCATTATTATTATTTGTCAATATTATTTTTCAGTTATTACAATTAATGATATTTTATTAATGAACAACTATCACAGGTCATTTCAGTTTATAAATACAGAATAAAAATGTTTGAAATGTGATTGACCTTTTATCAATCAGTGGTAAAATCAGGTGATAAGGAACATCTGTACCGTCTGCCATAGTTTTTTTTTGTCTAAACTGCATATCTGAGCATATCTTTGAAATGTAGCTTATTAGTTCATTACAAATACTTGATTATGGTCCTTGAAATCTCTAATAAAGCAACTTTCTCATAATGCTATATGGGCACATGGGAATATGTCCAAGGTCTAAATATTACATTTTAAGAAATGTGGTTTAAATGTAAAAAGAAAAAAGGCAGATGTGTGCAAAGAAAACTCAAAGTAGGCACCCACCTATGCATAATCGTTTTTCAGCATAACTTAAATAAAGTAGACGAGCAGAGCGGAGTCTTTGACCTTGGAAAAACAATATTAACTCGATGTCCACTTGCTAAACTTTTCCTGTACTATAAATGTATCTTAGTCTTCATCAGCGGATGGGGTTTGATCAATTGTCTCTTCAGCTTAACTAGTCAAAGAAGACAATTGTACTTGAGTATCAATATAAAGAGTCATTCTGAAAAAATCTTTGAAGACATTAAACTAACACAACTGAGATTAACTCAACTTTAGGTAGCTCAATGACATTAAACAATACAAGTCATTGCATAATTTGAATGAGCAAAGACATGTCTTTTTTTATTTTCTAGTACACTTGCAAGATGTCTGACTTCATGTTAAGACTTCAGGACCAGACAGGGAACAATATAATATATCTTTGATTGTTTTCCCCTCATAATGAGTTCACATTTTAAAACATTCACATATTGAACTTTTGCAGGTGTACTTTTCACAAATACAATTGTCAGTAACACTTTCTACAAACAGTAGAAACATAGACATGTTCAGATTTTCAGGTTTAGTTGTTATTTTATGATTATAGACGTTTCTTCAAAAATTCCCATATAAACATATGTTTTTGTTATGGTTTAATTACAGTTAAACAACAAATGAAAATCAAAAGGTACCTTACTGAAAGGAACAAATGGTGAGTTCGCTTGTCCTTATCTCTCAAACCCCAGAACAACGCTTACAGATCAAAAAGACAACTCGTGCAGCTTGACAGTTACAAGCATTTGAACATTTGAAAATGGGATTTTTAGCAGGAATACATTTCTACTTCAATCATAGAAATCACCAAACAGCAAACAAGGAGATGCCTAAGTGCAAGTTATCTCACACTGAGGTGGGAACATATTATAGGATATCAGTTGCCAAACAAGGAGTGAAAAGACTGAACACCAATATGAGTAGTCGTATCTTTTCCTAGACCTTCTACAAAATAAAAAGAGGTCACCAGGTTCTTTTTGCGTTTAAATTCAGCCCCCAATAGTGTCATTCTCAAATGCCACATAAAGTATACTTTACAAAAAGTGATTCCGTCTGAGAAAATATTAGTGATACTTGTTTCCCGTTAACAAAGTACAATGTTTTAGTTTGCACTCTTTTGTGATCGCCACCCTAGAGGCCTGGCCTAATTATACTGGGAATATAATATTAAGCATTGGTCATAGTTTTTTTGTGTCATATAAAAAAACAAGAAAGATAATCTTACTGCACATTAGTAAATCAAAATATGTACAAATCTACATTATGTAATAGAATTCCAGAATAGGCACTTTAAGTCAAAACAGTTCAGCCAGCCCTCAAAGTCATCAAGACACGGCAGTTACTTTTTCTAAGAAAGATTAAACCAGACATAACCCAGAAACAGACAAAAGCCCTAAAACCAGCGTCAGTAGATTTGGACAATTTCATCCTGACATCAGCCCCACACACACTTAAAATATGCACACAGGGAAGCTCTAGTTTCCAAATATAAAGTAAAAGATCTGCTACAGTGCAGGAAGGAGATATAATAACATGCACACTTGGTAAAGATCAAACTCTTCAAATGATGATCCACCGGCCTCAAGACTTATCTACCGTACAATTATGTAGTGTTTTGTTCCGAAAATGTGCATGATAACAGCCTTTCACCACAAACAGCCCTATGTTCAAACAGGGCAAGATAATCATTAATGTCACCCCGAAAACAATAAATAAACAATAAATAATAACTCTTTTTTTTTATTATAAATAAATACATGAATAAGGGAAAAGACTGATTCGGCAGTGCTCAAATTTAAGTTGGATTTTATGGCTTGGCTGAAATATATCTACTTTCAATCTTTTAGAACATATTTGTTCATTTTAAAATCTCTTTAAAAAACTTCTAATACTGCTTCCACCACAGATGCCAATGTAATCTACTTGTTCTTAACCCTTCTCCACCTGGGACCTTTGACCTTTGACCTTTGAGCAGGAGGAAAACACACTAGATAAACGTACAGTCTGTGGATGGATGGATAATATTAATAATGTGGCTGCAGTGTAAAATGCTCTCTCATTATTGGTACCAGAGTAACGTTTTAGAGTTCTGTGCACTAAATGATGCTGTAGGTCATCGTACCAATACTTGAAGGGAAGCTAAACAAATACAGGTCCTGTAGTCAGGAGCAACTTCACCACAGAGAGAAGGGTAAACTGCATATTAAAGTCCCTCCATAAAGCCGGAGGGACTTTAATGGATTATAGAAATAGCACTTGCATGAGCCAACACTACAGCCCCATTTTTTAAGCTTTCCTTAATGCAAGCCAAATGTGCGTCCCGCATTATTTTAAGTAACCCTTAGGTTTGAGGTGCACTTGATTGACAGTACCTTACCTCGACAGAGTACGCTCACTTTCAAGATTACAGAAATCCACCTAAATAGCAAGTTGAATAAAGCGTACTTCATGTTTGTCACAAAGCTGAGCCTATTTTAAATCCACGTTAGAGAGGTGGTCCCATCAATATGGTAACTTTTATGTGACTCATACTCTAAAAGCAATCAAAAATCCCAACAAATAATTTCCTTTTGAATTCAAATTTGAAGATTTGTGATTTTTTTTGTAATGCTTAAAACAACAAACTGCATCCTGACAGTGTACGCTTTCTTACAGTCTGTGCCTGCGAGGCTCGGAGCGTGGCGGTGAAGGCGGGGGGGGCAGGGTGAAGGTGGTCGGGGGCTCCACTGGGTCGTCCATGGGCAGGACCAGGCGGGTGCCCCTGATCGCCACTTCATGCTCCGCTGAGCCCAGCTCGTGCTCCAGACCCTCAGCCCGCCGGCCCCCCCTGCTGGTGGTGCGGGACCCAGAAGCGTCCGTGCTGACGGTGACGTCGGCGTAAATGGAGCTGACACTGGAGTCGTTCAGGATGAAGTCCGAGTCATCCTCGTGGAGCCGGTACTCGTTCTGGTGAGTGACCAATGGGAAAACGTGGGAGGGTAAGACATTAAGCAGAATGAAAAGACAAAGACTGTAGAATACCATCAAAGGACAGGAGAAGGAGAGAAGTGGAAAAACGGCTTCTTTAAAGAAAAGCAAAATCTGAATAGTCACAGACTGGGAGCCCCTTCCACCAAATATCAACACCCAAGTTTATGACGTCAAAAGACTCCTAATAAGATCTTTAGATACATAAACTAGCTTGATTTATTGATTTTCAAATGTAGTTATTGTTCTATAACATGTACAAAAAAAAAGAAGAAGAAATTCTGATTTCTTTTTACCAAATACCTCCATATTTCGCCAATAATGTAGGGTTTCCCATTGGGGGCGTTTGCGAAATATCAACACAACAGCATTAACATAACATTTCTAGATTATTAGTATGTGGATATATAACTACTGTGGTGTAAAGGCAACAATTGCATCATTGACACTTACTGTATGGCAAATTCCATTATCTAAAATCTCAGAAATACAAAGTCTTATATCACCGTATTGATATATTACCCTGCCCTATTTCCGATGTTCAAAAAATGACTGATTGGGTTCTGTAAAACAATATGCTGAGTGTTCAAACCTCATAGGCCTGCGGGCTGGTGAGGCATCGGGCCAGCGGTCCACAACAAGCAGGCAGAGTGGAAGAGAGGGGGGGGCCGCTGTGGGTCAGGAGGGGCTTTAGGTAGCTGGAGAACAAGCTGTCAAGGACTATTTACAGTTTTAAAGTTTCATTATTAAAATGAATTTGGTCAACTCGCAGAAAATTATCTATAAAAGGAAGTTATATAGCTTACAGCTTGTAAAGAGCGCCCTCTGGTGTTTAAAGCTGAATGTAGTTTCTACTCTACTGAAAACAGGATCTTTTATACATTATACACGTATGATCCATGGCTCAAAGGATACTTGTGGTCGAAGTTATACCAGATCCTGAAGGGCCAGGCACTCTCATGTTTGGTGCTCCGTTGTGTCCCATCCAACACCGCTGAGCTCTGTTTAGCAAAACATTTAATCAGTGGCAATTTCACTTGGGATAAAAACTGAATGCAACCAAAACATTTAAACATACAAAAAGGAGTATCATGCCGTCCGTGCTCATCACTTACAGAGTTGTCTTGATCAGAGTCCACACCCACCCTGAAAGAGAAAACATTGTGGCATTGACTTTTGCTGAAAAACATTTGATAGCGGGACGAGAGAGAAACAAATGCACAGCCTTACGGTATGCTCATGAAGGACAGCATGGGCGTGGTGCCCCCCCCACAGATCCACACAGTGAAGAAGACAATCAGCAGGGTGGTTGAAAACATCATCTGGCGGGCGTAAGTCGCTGTGTCTCGGATTGAAAGAGCAAAGGTCATTGCCCCACGCAGACCTGATGGAGATAAGACAACAAGACCCCGTGAGAGTGAGTAACAGTGGGAGTTTCACCCAAAGACACCGTGGGAGACACCTTGAGTGGGTTTTGTCATTCATTTTAGAAAAGCCAGAAAATATGTTTATTAATGTGGCTGTTCTTGGGTTCTTCTTTTCCTAACCACTGCAGTGCACAACAATTGTTGAGCTCATCCTCCACAGTATGCTGATTCTGGGTTTTTTTTATCTACTCATCCGGGTTGGTGGTGTCCAAACAACTATTTGCAGAGACATGGAGGCGATGTTCTAATTTTAGCCAGTTTTAACTGTCAATATCAACCTACATAGGGGCTGTTATTCATAACTACTGTATCTAGGGTAAGCAGTGTATTCATTTTTCGAGCAAGCCTGAGGAAGTTTAAATGACTCATTGGAGAGCTGGTAATTGACAACAGAGACTTAAGTCCGTACCTGCAAACATCATGACATGCTGGAAGTTGGATTTAATCTTGTTCTTGCGGCCCAGGTTGAGCAGGAAGGACAAAGGGTAGATGTTTGCCGCCCTGCCCAAAAACACAGCAAACTACACAACACAGGAAGGTCAAGGACACAACAAACTGAGATGGAAAATACTCGTGGGTAGATTACAGAAATTCAGCAATGACTAATCTTTCTTTTAAATGTTGCTGCTATCCGTGGGCTTCCTAAAACACTTGATTATTTCAGCAGTGGTAGCAATAGTTTTGGCAGCCAAAGAGTGGTTATATGCAACACGTATTTGGCTAAATAACCAATCATCTGAGGACAGCAGTAACAATATTCAGAGTAAAGGATACAAAGGCTCCGATGATGAACATAGGGTTAAAGACGTGTGACTGGAAGGAGAAGAGAGTCAGGCCCATGTAGGAGAAGATGAAGTTCTCTGCCAGGAAGTTCAGCAGCTCAAACAACTGATGGGGAAGAGACAAGCAAACATTTTAACAATGTAAAAAGAACATTACATTCATGTTATTTTGGATGTAATGGACAGTGACTGAGAAAGTGTGTAACATATGGAGTTACTACGTTACATGGGTGATTATCCTAACTCTAAGACTTAAAAACAGAAGTAACTAGTATTCAGGTAGGGTTTGTATCTAAATAAATTGAGTGAAAGTGACCAAAGACATGTGGTTGTGCATCACCTGTTTGGTCCTGTCCTGAGAGTCGGGGGAGAGATTGTTGAAGGTGTAGTGAGCCTGAGTGATCCCACAGAACAGCACAGCCACTACGCCTGATGAACAGCAGACATAGAGTGGTCTCACTTCAGTATCAATCCAACACATTGAATTATACTTATACCAGAGACCAAGAATTAAAAACCATCATTCATTTTAGGATTTGTGACAAAATGAGTTTCTAAGAACATTAAAATACATTGACGGAAGTTGCTAAGGTCAAATGTAATGGACGTTTTTTTTAAAGATTGAAACTAAACTGTAATGTAAAAAGGGGTGCAGTCTACATCCTTGGATAATATCAGTGGTTAAAAAGACTGTTAAAGACTCGCACTGTGATGAAACAACATAACCCTATCCTTTGACATCATGTGGCTTGAGGGTGTGTATCAGTTTGATTTTATTTCAGCAAGTGTGAATGATTCATCCTTCAATACATTATCAATCATGGCTTCATTGTTTTAATGTGACAGTTGGAACTCCTAAGATAATAAACAAATGTTTCAGGCTTATTCGTACTGGATGAAAAGGTCACTTTCAATATGTGATAGAGATTCATTTTTGACTAAATTAAGACAGAAACTTAGTCCAAGACTTGTGATCAAAATGAGAAGCAGTGTATATTGCATGTGTACCTGTGAACCCGCAGGCCTCAGCCAATAGGAAGGTGCTCCACGACATGAGGAAGAAGAGCGCCGTCTCCAGCAAGGGGAAGTCCCGCAGCTTAGTGAATTTGGTCACGTGAGCAAACCTTAAAGTCAAGGAGCAAAACATGAGGGGGCCCTGCTGTATATAAATGGAAACAAGGTGATAAAGACATTGTTTGAATAAACCTTTTTATCCGAACGTGCAAGTACACAATTTAGGCTACTCATATAGGGACTGACACTAAAACATTTCTGGTTCCAAGTTGATTAAAACTTGAAGCTGATCAGCAGGAACTTAATGAGATACAATGAAACTCTTTATCCCTGTAATGCTGCGGAATTCAATTGAAATGTAATGAGGCCCAGTTACTTAACTTTCCTTCCAGCAATGTCCGAATCTCAAAAAGTCTTAATTGTGTATCCCTTTGTCAAATAAAATCAAACATACATCATTAACATATAATTTCAACATATTGTCAATTGTAAGTGTAGCATAGTTAACATTTAGAATCATTTCAAATCTTTACCATAAATTAGACCTAGCATAATCCAAATCAAAACAAAAGGGAATCTTGTAAAGAAAAAACAGCCGTGCTGTCAGGGAAAAGCAACGCTCTGTAAAATATTGGTAAAGATTGGTCACATTTTCAGATTTCGGTCCACCAGTTAGTGATGCCTGCTGTAGTTTTACTCTGCAGCTGCTTATGCACACCACTAACTGTAAATGTTCATTATGTGATAGCAGGTGAAAGGATATGAGAGCGGTCATGAATCCGGTGGCCACCCCAAGAGCAAAGGATCCGCTGAAGATTCCCAGGAAGACACCAAAGGATTTCAGCATGGCCATGGCCTCAAAGCTGTGGTTGTTGTCTCCTGCAGGCTGATACGCCACAATAGAGCTGAAGGGCAGAAAGAGAGTCAACACATTTACATGGAAAAGGGAAAATAGACGTTTCCAAAGAATCCCAAAAGGGGATCTGATGAAATATTACTCACATGCTCTAATAGAGAAACAAACGGATGAACTCAAGATGAAGTAAGGCATCAAATCAAATCTGCAGCAACCCAAATCCAATAATGGCTGAAACAACAAGCCTGCTGTTTATCTGATGTGTTGTATCATTTAGAGGATTTTAAAATAACAACAAAAAAACTTCACACTCATGGACTGGAGTTGGGTTTTACAGACATAAAAAGGGAGTAAGTTGGGGTCTTGCATGCTTGATTCTTATTGGATCGTGCTGCATCTTAACACCATTCCATTGATATCCAATATAGAGTATCAATAAGTAGAAAACAGACAATTCAGGTGCTACCCTTTTATGAGTAGTAGTGCTCAAATAGCTTCAAGACCAACAAACCAAATCAATAGCACTAAGAACCAGGAGTAATAAACCTTTTACATACGAAATTACCAGAAATGTAAATAAAAGTAGGGTCTATAGAACACAGAAAAAAGATGCAAAGAATGGATATGAAAGGGAAGCAGGGGAGGAGAGCAATACTCCTAAGAGGAAGGCTACATACTACTAAGTCAAAGATCTGCATGACATAGTCTTAGTTAGGATGACCAAGCTCTACAACTATAACTCTTCCAGCACAGCCACATAAACAGCCCCCTCCCCTCACCCACCGAAGAGTCAATGTCTGGTTTTCTTCCAGCCATTGATCGTCCTCTTGAGGCCAGACAGAGTCATTGTCTCCTGGGGAGCGCACCCCCCCGGCCCCATGCCTACTCTGTCTGTCCAAGCTGAGGAGAACTCTGCATACATACGTACAGGTAGGCCACGAACGACACGGATGGAATGAAGGAAGGCAAGCAGTGAAACGACAGGGACTGACGTTAGTATGATTAGAGTCCATCGATGTGAAATGTACCACACACAAAGCTGAGTTTGACACAGTTAGCCTCATTAGAGTGCAGGGCAGTAACACAACTAGAATATGAAGGATAGGTTCACATTTCTTTGAAGTCTCTCAAAGAAATACTAACATTTATGACCATTTATTACTCTTGTACATAGTGGCCATAAAAAAACGTTCCAGTATAATCCAATTCTTATTCCAAGAGGCAACAGAAAACATTTCCCCCCCATAGCGTTCCACATGGTATAATTGATGGCAAAGGGTACAACCGGATCCCTTTCAATTTACCTACGAGCGAATTACTTGCGACAAATGTACAGCATTGTATTTATTACCAATGCTGCTGGAGTAATAACGGTACTCGGCTCTTCTGCCATCAGCACAGGGTCTCCCCATTTCCTTTTTGCGTTGTCAGAAAGAAACAGACACAAACTCTGTTCAAGAGCTACGAATTGCTACATTTAGCATCACAAAGTAAGCCACTTTGAAAAAAGCCACTTCAGGTGTATTGACCTCAGACTGTTGGAACATCACATGAGCTTTAACTGCACAAAAAAAAGCTGTTGATATTATCCCCAATCACTACTTGTGAGCCAGTTAGGTAGTAGAGATTGAACTGGTGAGAAGGCCACTAATAACTCTTTAAATATATACTGTTCGAGATAGACTTGCAAAAATGTTAACCTATCCTTTAACATGACACTACCAATGCTTTGATAAAATAGAAGTAGACATAAAGTGTTGCTGTGTAGGCTGTGTGTGTTCATATCTGCAGTTTGTTAATTAATTGGTGCTTACGAAGAGAGGACGATGGCCACAGCATCATTGAGGACACTCTCCCCAAAGAGTAAAGCATACAGGTCCACATCTACTTTTAGCTCATTGAAGATAGCCAGCACTGTCACTGAGACACAGAGGAGAAAAAGACACGTAAATACTGTACAGCAGGAGGACAGGAGCAAAGAACAAATCGATAAGATGTCGCACTGCTTCATTAAATTACATTCTTAGTACAGTCTTTGGATGAATAGTTGCTAAAAAGCTAACATGGCACTAATTACCTGGGTCTGTTGCTGAAACGATGGCCCCAAACAGGAGGCAGTCGGTAAAGAAAAAATCTCCTCCAAGCTGGCCCACAACTTTCATGAAGGACACAATGCCATACATGATCAGCCTAAGAACAGAGAAAAAGATTTGATCAACAGCGTACGTACAGTATTTAAGTCTGAGAGTAGTAGGGATGAAGGATAATGTATGTGAACATAATCTTAATGTTGTGTTTCTTTTCCAATATTGCGATTGCAGTTCAGTATGCACCCAGCAGTTTGGAAGCAAGACATGGAAACTTATTTTTTTAGATTATTTTACGTGTAGCTTCCATTAAAGTGCATTGCAATGTCAATAAGATGTATTGTTCAGCCCTAGTGTACATCAGAGATAAACAAATAACTTACCCAATAACAAAGCAGGAGATAACTGTTCCGATGAAAGCATAGGCCAGGATGGAGCCGATGTTTCTAAAGAAATGTCTCTGAGACAGGCAAGGACACAGATTTGTTAACAAAGAGGCTTTCTAGGACTAAAAGTTAAGATGTGGCATTACAGACAAAAAAATATCAGAATAATCACCAAAAAGTAGTTTAGCCTGTTTGAAACGTGTATGCGAAAAATCCAATGTAGACTTTGAAAAATCTGAATACTTAATTGACATGCTTATTAGTTTAAACCCTCTTACCCTTTTGAGACTGTAACCAGCATGGAAGATAATGGGAGGCAGCAAAATGTTGAAAAACACTTCTGGGTCAAAGGTCACCTAAAGACAGAGGTAAGATATAACAGGTTAGACACTCATTTTAAATAGTCAACTCCCTATGTGTTAAACCGGACCCATAATATCTGCTTGTATATTCAGACTGACACAAGTTAACATCACTTAATGTTCTATTTGTATAGTTGACAGATTATGTTTGATATATCAGGTTTGCCGTTTGCAGGTTGATTGTTTTTTTACAAGATAAAACATATACTTCTGCCATTTAGCAACCGCCTGCTGGGGATTTCATTTGAGAGCGGCACACCAACAACAAGCTCCACTTGAACCATTCATCTGTTCATCCTCTTGCCTTTCTCAGCATCTCGTCGTCCTGTACTTGGTGACCTTTGCCCCGGCTGACTTCCCCCTTTAGCGTGTACTCGTAGAATCGCCCACTGACGTTGACCAGAAGTGTAGTGGGACTGGCGTTGACGGCGCAGTTGAGGATCACATCACTCATGCTCGCGGGGACATGGACTCCAAAACGCAGGATCACACCCACCAACACGCCTTCAGGAGGGAGGAGAGAGTGGGTGAGGGGAAAGCAGTTAAGGTATCTTTAGTAAATGATAATGGTTATAATATTCTTTATATTATTTTTTTACAGTTACAATAGGAATAGAACCCTAACTATGTAATATTGATTTTAATATGGACAGTGAATATCATAATGGATTAATAATAATACTTTTGAATACCAACACCCTACTAACTATGGTAGCCTATATGACATTTTGCAGGGAGCCTCCTTTGTACCGTGAAACCCAGTGGTGTAAAGTAAGTAGATCTACTCAAGTCAATTTTGAGGGACTTTTACTCCACTATATTTATTTAGTACCTTTAGTTACTTAGCAGATTTAGTTTAATGATGTAAAATATAACACTTTAGTAAGACTTTATTTAAACTAGCTGGAGAAAAATTCTCCAGCTACCCTACAGCACCTACATACAAAGTCATTCAAATTAGCCACACCTTTACCACCTTTACTTAAGTACAAGATCTGAGTACTTATTTCACCTCTGCTATTTCATATAGACATTAAAATGGGCTATGCATATGACACTGGATAAAAAGTAATACTTTTGAATATGAACACCCTGCTAAGCTAACAATGGTATATCACATATCGTAGGCAGCCTCCCCTCAAACCTTGAAACCTGAGTAAAAGCTGTCATATTAGCTTACTGGCTAAGTTGGAGGAGCTAACACCATCATCGCCAGCTAGCATTGGAGCTAAGTTAACTGAAAGGCATCAACTAAGTGCTCATACCATCAGAGGAGGGATAAGTACTCAGATATTGTACTTGAGTAAAAGTATCAGAGTGTAGGAATACTCAATTATAAGTAAAAGTCCTGCATTCAAGTAAAAGTACAAAAGTATTCGCATCAGAATATACTTAAAGTACCAAAAGTAAAAGCACTCATTATGCAGATTGGACCATTTCAGAATAGTGTATGTTTTGATTATAATTATTAATGCATTAATGAATTAATCAAGTTGGTAACGGTGCAGCTGGTTGTAATTCCTTTGTATACTGCAGGGTTACTTGTGAATTTACTCCAGGTGTTACTGAAGTCTTTTATTGGGGTTGATTATATGTCACATTATGAAACTAAACCTGCAAAGTAACTAAAGCTACTAAATAAATGTAGTGGAGTAAAAGCACACGATTTACCTCTGAATTATAGCGGAGTAAAAGCACAAAGTACATCAAGTGAAAAGTACAAGTATCTCAAATGTGTAGTTAGGTTGTTGAGTAACTTGAGTTGAGTAAATGCAGCCTACTCAGTTACTTTACACCACTGTTAAAGCACCATCGTCAGTTCTCTTACCATAGATCATGGCCAGTCCTGTTTCGTGCAGGAACCTGAATCGCCGGTGTTTGAACAGCCATATCGTTAAGATGGTGAGTGTTAAGAGCATTATGAATATAAGTAGATTGGCACTGTCTTGTCGGTGGCTTTCCTCAGCCAGCCTCTCGGTTGAGACGTTATCCATCGCATTATTATCGCCTTGGCTCCCAACGAGCAATAATGTCAACAGAAAAGGCAGAAACACAAGCGTTTTCGACGGTTTAACACCAAGAAAGAGTCCCGGTGTAAATCCCATTCTTGAGCTCTGTTAAAACGGTCACATCTGTCGTTGAATTAGTATCAGTTTAATGGGAAATACTGCTTGGACGAGATAATATCAGGATAATAACTACGAAATGACAGCTTCTTCCGCAACCTTTATCAAAACACTAGGACTTCCGGTCCTTCAAAATAAAAGTCCGTTTATGACCAGAATCAGTCCTGAGAATAACAGCGACCTCGCATGGTGTTTGAAGGTCGACTTTTGTTGTCATCATGCAGAGAATATGGTTATCATGACATGCGCCAACATTGTAATATGAAATGCATTACAACGAACCTAACAAACACATTGACAAACAGTACAAATGTAAATATGGTTAATAGTATAACCATCATAGCCTGTAAGAAAATTCAGTACCATGATAGTGACGCAATTATCTGGTGTCTTATATCTTTCTTACGTTAACATCTAAAGTGTGCAGTAATACAATGTGTTAATCATCATCACCAACCGAAGTGAAGCATTTTGTCATCCACATTTGTTGATGCTTTTCTAATGCTTGCTTACCATGCTGGTCTTTGTATTGATTTTAAGCTTTGTATTGATTTCAAACTTGAATTCTGGTCTAATAATTTGGATACAGCTGTGATGGTCTTGACTCTGCCACAGAAGTATACGCACCATCATACAAGCACCGTGATGCTTTTTAATGACCTTTGATTCAATGTCAATTGTTGCATTGTTAGTTGTTTTTCTAAAAGTATTTCAAAGCATGTCTATATGTCTGAATACTTTTTTAGTGCTTCATTAACAATTTGGTTTTTAACAACTTGTGAATGAAAACACAGAGAGTTCCATTCAAAGATAAGCAAAAATGCCTTTAAATGTTCTTTTCAAAAGGAGAACAGAAACAGAGCAAAAATACCATGGAATTTGACAACGCATACACCCTCTTCAAAACCCTCTTCAATTCTCAGGAAATGAGCTGTGATGAGCTGATTGTTGCTAAGATGTCACATATCAAATCTAGTCAGAAGTTGGTCACAGATGTTGGGGTTGATTAATTGTTGCTACATGGCACTACATGTACTTCTAGTATCGCTGGTCAAGTTTTCTGAATCTGCACAAACTACAGTTCAGACAGCAATTATTGCTTTGTAACATTTCAGCACAATTATTTTGCTATTTAAGATTTTGTCACATTTTGTTGTTCATTTGTTAATTGATAAGCATATATATATAAGCATGTCTACTAATTTGATGGTTAAACCTATAACACTCAATATATATCAATGGATAGGTTAAGTCCAATCAACGAACCAAGAGTCTTCCTGCACCACTAAACAGTTATTAAATGGAGTGCATGTAATACAGGTTATTAAGATCAGTATGTATTTATTCTAATAAGATAAAATAATGTGTCTGTTTATTGTGCACACACTCAGATGTAAGTATACTTTCTCAAAAAACATTTCTGTAACAGTTTCCTCTGACAGGCAACCGAACACACAAAACTCATCATTTTGGGACCGCACTCACCAAAAGTGACACATATCTGATGACACGTGACCCTGTCATGCACAAAGTATGTTTTAGCTCTAATTCTTCTTTAAAAATCAGTCAAGGTAATACACAGATGAATTGTGAATGTTACCTGTTTTATTTGAATAAATTAAAAAATGTGCACATTTAGACTTGACTATCACAAACAACATACATGTGACACGCTTGACATGCTTGAAACTGCAAGGCAGAAGGATAACCAATGTTTTCGGCAAATTTTGAGAGAAGAACCTGTCAGAAGAGCAAATATGTATTCGAGACGCTTTGTAGCTCTTGGAAAATTGTAAGAATTAACTACAAATTACACTTATTACGTTGTAGTTGTATGTGTCTGTGCTCTTTGGTTGCAATTAGCTTTTTCTATGACCTTTTTAAAGCTAAATTCAAATGCATGCAGTTTGCTAAAAAAGGGTATAGAAAATACTAATTATAAGCAAGGGGGGTTTTATGGAGACCTTTAACAAAACAGAAATGTAAATGTCAATGCTCTGTTGTTTCCCTCACTTTATCAGTGGACTTTATAAAGTTGACTTTATGCAGCAATGACTAAAGGTATAAGCATTTTTGATAACGTACAATTTTTGGAAATTAAAAACAGATTATGAAACTGACCAAATAACTCTATTGTGTAGTTTCACTCTATGAGTTAAAGCATGTTTTAAAAATGGTGGGGTATATTAGAATACAGCCATACACCAGAAGGCCTAACTACAGGCATATCTTGATGCCAAACATGGTTTGTGTATTGATATTTGTGTGGATTTTTCTCATATATGACCTTTTGTACGTACATGTAATGTTTGCATGAATATCAAGACCCATAATTGCTTGGATCATCATGTAATCAAAAATCTATTTAACTTAGATAGGTATCTCCCTCTTTGGGACACACAGCTATAATAACAAATGAATAGCATTCTATGCCTTATACCCCAAGTTGAACTCTCTCTAGTTTTTTTAACATGAAATTAATTTGTGGACCATATACAACCAAACCATTTCATTAACAACTTGAATGTTATCAACTGATGAATGACTACACAGAGAACGTACCAAAGATAAGCAATAAAAGCCTATACATTTTCGGATTAAAAGAAAAACAGTAAAAGAGCAAAGATACCACAGTATTTTACCACATATACGCAAAAAAAAAACCTCTTAAATTCTCAG